ATAAACTTCATAGACACAGAAGCCTAAACTGCGTATATTAGAGGCAAACGAAATGCATATATACATATATATGTATATATATCTATATTTATACATAAACAATACATAGTAGTTAAACCTAGCGATATCTAAAAATAACTGATAACTGAACATGCGATATATGATAGCTAATAAACATAGACATAGACAGAACTTTTTTTTTGATTTGTTACGTTAACCAACACTCACACACACACTCTCATAGGACTTACAATCTAAGAAGCTAAACCTACAAAATAGGCGTATATATAGGTATATGTGGGGCTTTGTACAAACGAATAACAAATTAGATGCATTGTATTTAGCAATAACTTTATATACATATATATAATGGATTTTAAAATCAGATCAGGTACCAGGTCAGTGTTGTAAAACACCCAAGCGTCATTTACTTATAAAAGAGGAGAAGCGAAAGGAGCAGAAATTAATTGTATTTTATTTTTTCTAGCTCTACAAGTTGGGCTTCTATTTTACTTTGTTTCTCTGCGTTTAAGTTTTAACTGTTTTCTTCTATGAATTTTGAAACAACAGCAAAAAGTACAAAAAGGCAAAGCAATGTAGCTATAATCGAACAGTTTGTATAGAATTTTTTGGGACACGTTTCTAATTTAGTTTTTGTATTTCGTGTTTTGTGTCTTTCAACTTAACTCTGTAACTCTTAAAATGTTCAAAACCAAACGCAGAGATTAGATTACTTTTTTGATTGTGTGTGACAACATTAATATATGCTAACAATACATGATACTAAATACTATCAACTATCTATATATACATATATCAATATAATGTTTCTTGTTAATTAGGTTTCTTAAAGAGTATTTTGTAGTTAGTCGTAAAACTTTTTTGTCAAATCCTTTTATATGTGTTTTTTGTTTGAATTGAATTAGAACTGTCGGCACTTCCTATTATGATACTACAAATATATATATACAAATTGTGTAAATCCAAGTAAATTGTAATTGAAATCAATAATTATTAATGCATGCATATATTGTAATCCAGCTGTGCACTAATTAATTGTAAAATTGAAATCTAAACATATATATATGATTATATATATCCATAGAGATCTATTTGGTAACGAAAGTCTAGCATATAATTATTGTGATGTAGTTTTTAAAAAATCGATGCAAAATACAAACTGATGTCGAAATTTTTGTCCTTGTCGTAATTAGCCAGTAAAAAGCAGAAATAAACAAAACAAATTACGAATTACGAATACAAATTACAAATTACTAATTAATTGTAAAGCATATATACGTCATATGCATATATAATAATATTAATAATCTATGTTAACTATTTAGTACACAAACGAAAAAAAAAAAACAAAACAAAAAACAATGACTAAGCAAAAAGGCAAACAAAACAATTCTTTTAATTTTCAAGCAAGTTTATGTTTAATTAGCAGCTGTTAGACGTTTAGTGTTGTGACTTTAAATGATAACTCGTAACAGATATAGTAATACACCTATGAATCTAGATCTAGATCTGGACCTAGATCTAGACCCAGCTATAGCTGCAAAGCCGTTGCTGTCAGTTTCCATTTTGATTTGTCTTTCTTGGCTGTCATCTTGAATGGCTTTTGTTAAAGCTTTTTTATAGATATTTTGTGGACCATGAAGAGAATATATATCAAAGAATATATATTTAACAAAAGTCTTTAAAGCAAATTGCAGCGACTCAAGCTTGTCAAGGTTTATTTCCTTTTTTGTCGAAGTAACTAATATATATATATGCATAAAGTACATAAACTATAATTAATAAGTTTAAACAACAAAACTTTTCAATTTCTACTCAATGTGTTTTTTATTATATATAGAGAAGCAAAACAGAAAGAAGCGCTTTAAATGTAACAAAAACGAAACGTTAATAGACTTAAAAAGAAGAAAATTTAAATATATACATATAAATAACACTCACTAAACAAATTAAAAACAGACATAGACACATAAATATATATATAAATATCAAACTAAATTTGGTAATTAAGTAAAAATTTTAAATCTAAAGAGAAATTAAACAAATGTTTTAACTGTGTAGCCTTAAAAGAAAATCAATTTACAAATGAACATTAAATATTATATGTGTAGCACACACATCTATATATATACTTGAGATATCATATGATTGAACATACATATTTCTAAATGTACTAAAGGTTTATTTGTTTATTTTTTACACATATAAAAACATATATATTTTTTTCATTTTGTTTAAAATATTTTACTTTTGTATTTCACAAAAATGCATACATTTTTAAATTGTAAATCCCACACTCACATACACAACATAAATTTACTATTAATATAAATGTTTAAAATGATGTCCTAAAATACAAAAACCCACAACAACAAACATAAATATATATATACGATTAACGAAAGCATATTTCTTATTATTTTCTTTTCAATGTTTCTTTATTTTTCCATTTTAGTTTTATCAATGAAAATCAAGAAGCTAATCAAAAGTTTGAACAAAAAGCAAATCAAGATGAACAACAAATACAAAATATATATCCCACCAACAAAATTAATTTTAAATATGCATAAGAAGAAAGGGGACATTTTATAACTTAACTGATATATCGAGCGAGATATATGGCTACATCTATATATATGTATATTTAGAATTTGCTTTAGTTTGTCTTAAAGCTCATAATGGATTGCTTAGGCTTTGGCTACCCTAGTAGCTATCTCTCTATCCATATATATATAAATATATATGGATGCTTATATATATATGTAATTACCTAATTTTAGTTTACTCTGAATCAGGCTTCTATAGTTGCCAATAGATTGTTAATTCTTTTCCAATACACACACACACATGTTGTTTGACCAATTCAAATACGAAAACGAACAATTTGATGAGCTTTTCGAAATAATTTGTCGCTTTGGAATGTGTTTCATACGCAAGTTATATGCATTTAACAAGCTAAAAACACAACAACAACAAATACCAATACCAATACCAATAATAATTTAAACAAGTAGTTATAGTCCTTAAGAAACACCGATCAACAATTTGAATTAGATTTTGAATGAAACGAAACGGAAACAGAAAAAAATTTAAAACACTTGACGCTGACAAACAAGATTGATAAGAACCCGTCCATAATTAGATTTTGTTCTTAAAAAAAAAAAAAAAAAAAAAAAAAAAAAAAATTGAAAAACCCAAAGCATATGGAAACGAGTAACACCTAGTTATATATAGATATAWCTGAAGATGTAGAGTCATTCAAGGCTTTGTCGGCGCTCGAAAATCGTCTTAGATTAGGAAGGCAACCAAAATAGTTTTACGCTCTCTCTATGTGTTTTTTCTTTGACTCGTATATGAAATAAAAATATATACATATATATATCAATATATTAGGTATATATAAGTCTAAGTTTTGAGGGTTTTTCATAGCCGCCTGAATGCATTGAAAATGCGTATTCAGGCAGAAATCTATAGAAGGCAGCAGAGGGCACACAATCATTGATAGCCTCGGTATCCCGATGTAGTTTCATTAGTTTACTCTGAGCTGAACCCACCTGATGCACAGCACTCATTTCATTCTCCATGGATATTTCCTGCCTTGGCTTAAGTGTTGAGCCTAGGCCTTCGTTTCTCGACGTCTCTTGGATTGAGCTCTCAGGCAATCCAATTTGAATATCGAATTTGCTTCACAATTTCCTTGCTAATTCTCTCAGTTTTCAGCTGATCTCGATTCAAGTTGCTGGCCTGTAGCTTGGTCCAATAACGCCCCAAGTATATGTCATGTAGCATTCTCGAGACTACTTCAAATTCCTCGTCTCAGGTATCCTTAGAGAACTGGAACACACACTAAGACCTATTTATCGATAGAATATCTGCATTATATGCCTCACATAGCAAGCGAATATCCCTAAGGTCCACTTTTCATCAAATGAAAACTTGACTGGAACAAGAAATAGGAATATATTGCTTACACTTTTAGTGAAGACAAACTGAGATTAATAAATAATCTTCAAGGTCCTCACTTAAGCCCTCAAAACGTAGTCTTATGCCTAAAATTATATTGCATTTGAATAGAATGTTTTGCAAAATCGAATCTTGAAAATGTGTTTCGGATTGATATTTAGATGTTTTAAATAAGCAAAACAAAAACCAGAAAACTAAATACAGAATATTTACATAAACAAAACAAATACAAATACATATTAAAAGCGAAACGAAACAAAATTACAAATATATATACACTATATTTTATTAAATACAAAATATTTCGAATAACCAAAAAAAGATAAACAAAATGTTGATGTGTGAAATTTATAAGACTAGCATATTTCCTACCTAACAAAGTAATGAATAAATACGTTATGAGATATATATATAACTATAATATATAAACTAGCAGCTAGTTCGATTCCACGATTCCAACTAATGATAAAGAAATATTGAATTTAATACAAACAAAAACCAAAACGAACAAAATTATAAAAAATCGTCTAACAAATTGATCGTACCTTTTTGCTGATTTAAATGGAATATATATACGTGTATATATATAGAATTCTTGTATTCTAGTGTGTAAAGCGTGATGCAAACGTAATCGAAACAATATGTTTTAAATGGATATACATAACATATATACATGTATATGTATGATATATATACATATATATATATTTGATTAGCTCGTAATGCAACTTAGATGATGGCACTTTAATGGGATTTGCTTTTTATATATACATACATATGTGCGTATACATGCTGTACTAGAGTTAACTGAAGCAAATTAATATCGCATATAGCATATAGAGCTGTGTGTGTGTGCGTTAACTTTTAGGCATTAGTGTAACTCTTGCGATGTTTCAGAACAGAAAAATACGAGAATTTAAATATTTTTATATGCAAAGAAAACGAATGGAATCGAATCGAATCGATAAACCGATAGCCAATAGAACATGTTGTTAAGGGCAAACATAATTGATATAACTATAAAACACAACAATTACGAATAACAACAACCAAAGAACGATAATCAAAGCGCGCACACATTTACGATATTTAGATTAGTTTTTATTTTCTTTTTGGGCACCAAGTCTTATAGCATAATCGCGACCCCCTCACACTCACTCTCTATACATAAATTTTCACTTGTAGCATGTACCTAAGCTAATATATATACGAGTACATAGTTATATATTTTAGATACCTAAGTGCATGGGTTAGACAACGAATTGCCGGGCAACAAACGAGGGAAGAACTTGACATGACTAAATTGAAATCGAACGAAGAGAGAAGCAGAAGAGAAGCAGTAAGCCGAAGTGGCAGTCGGGTATCATCGACTGCATAATACTCGTTTACAGTTCACTTTAGAGAGCTAGCCTAACTGGCTTTGTAGAGGTCCCTCTGTTGATTTCCCGTTCAAAGAACTGAGGCTATACATTTCTGTATACCAAGTCTTTGCACTACGTAAACGAGTATTGCTAACAAGGTATGTACATTCCCTGGGCCTAAACCTCCCCCCGCGCCAACCAAAAACAAAAAGAGGAAGAATTAATTGATCTTTCGATTAGCAACGATTTGATATGATTGTCTTTAGCTAACTTAAACACATATGATGAGAAATCCAAGCCAACTCACCCAACTTATACACACTTAAAATTTACCTACTTTCTTAGTAACTTAATCATGTGTACTGAATGTTTTTTCTACTTGGTGTCCTTTACTTACAAACAAAAACAAAACATAAATATTTATATATAAATGGATAAAGATCAAGCGAAAGTCTTAAGTGTAAGCGTTAATATGAAATACTTCTTATATCAAAAACCAAGCACACCGATACATTTAGCATATATATATAACAATATCTAACAATATGGAACATGACATACGATAAGCAAAAATCGTATATCGTATGTATATATATATATATATTATATATCATGTACTTACTATGAAGTTATATAAACTTATTCAGATATGCGTACCTTTTTAAGCAACTAATTCAATGTTAATGTGAAGAAAGCATACATATGTATCGATAAATATATGTACGTGTATAGGGACTACCCCCATTTAGATGCGTTAGGGGAAGGCATGCAACACACCGTCTCAAGACCAAACAATTAACTTTAACACAATGAGCCGCAAATTTGTATTTATATATATATACATACATATAGTATATATATAGTGAAGATCGAAGTAAAACAATCGAGCTACGATTCAAGCCGTTAAATAACAGAATTTTTAGTCAAGTAACAGAGTAACAACAAATCCCATTGATAGATAATTTCGATAAATATGATATAAGAACTTTTGACTTTTATGGCTGTTTAGAGATTTTATAATAAATATACTTATGATATAAAACAAATACACACACAAAATATACCTATACATACACACACACATTGAATCTTTTTCCCCATAGAGAACTTTCCCCACTTTTGGTGCCCCAAGACGTGGCAATCCTCAACTTTAACTCTTAAAATCTTTTGCTCTTTAAACTCTATGTCTCTCTCTCTCTATATATATATATATATATAAACAAATCATATATGCAGCTCTATGTCTGGAATCTGGCATAATCTAAGCCCCGCTCTACGCTCCGAGCAGCGAATATTTGTAGCCCCTAGAGAAAACACTAACGGCAGAAAGAGAAGGAAAACAAAAATGAAAAATGAAAATCAACAAACGAAAATTGTGAAATTTAGTGTCTTTACACTTTAAAGAGTATATACAAAAAATAAAAAATAAAAATTAAAAAAAAAAAAAGAAAACTTTACTAAGTCGAATTGAATGTAGATGGGGTTATGTCCACGATAATTGTATGAGAGCATAACTCACACACACACACACACACACACAGATAGACACACACAGTTATAGAGATACGTAAATACAAAATACAAAATACGTCTACATACAAATTATGATAAATACTCGTACTTATGCCTAAAAGGATAAACGTGTAGCTAATATCTACGATCAAACAAAATAAAAAGCAAATGAATTACAAATAAATGTCTATATATTATGTATATGGAAAATATAAAATACAAATGATTTAAAAAAATACAAAAAAAAAAAAAAACAAATACTAAAAAAAAAAAAAACAAAATTATCAAAAGATAAATAAAGTGTTTTAATAAATTGAAACTTCCATGGGAGACGGAAGAGGGAACAGGGCTAAGGAGTGCCTGACTAGAAAATACCCTAATCCTCTAGCTTAACGAAATGAAATCATGAATTATCAATGGGCTCGACTAATAAGTAAATGCGGAGGAGATGCTATGGTGGAATTTTCTAAATGGATCAATAAATTTTGACAAGGAATTTGAGAAAACTTTGCTATTCATTCAAATGTCATTTTTTACTTCACTGAATAATAAAATACAAAGAAATTGAAATGGAAATAAATACCGAAACAAATCAGAATGTTTGCTTCCACTCTCCAGAATTTATTCAAGTCGAACACATCCGCTTGCTGTTGCCCTATAGCTCCATTACAACATACATGTATATTGTCAAAATTGTTTGTTCTGTTTAGGGAAGGAAATCGAGTTTAGTAAGTAGACGATGTATGTTCAGTCTGCAAAATTCCAAATCGTCTTTAGTTTGCTTAGAGAATCCACAAATATTTATTAGCTTACCAAACAAGAACGAAGAAAAAACAATCCCTATACATATGTATAGTGTTGATATATATATATATATAGCGTGTATCTATGGTGAAGAATTGTAGCAATTGCAATTATTGGTCATAGATTTCCGATAAGTGAGTAGCTCGTAGTCGCGGCCCGCGTCTCAACAGCAACGCTCTGGTTGTTGCTGTTGCAGTTGCTGTTGCAGTTGCAGCTGCAGTTGCAGTTGCAGTTGCTGGTGTTGTTTACACGTTATGAAACGGCGTCTCTATGTTGTTTAAGCTGATCATGGGCCAGACACTATCGGAACCGGTGACCACCAAGGACTCGTCGCGGTGCTCCAACTCCTTATACCTAGTGGGCAGCAGCTGCATGCAGGGCTGGCGCGTCGAAATGGAGGACGCCCACACACATATTCTATCCCTGCCTGACGACCCCAACACCGCCTTCTTCGGCGTCTACGACGGCCATGGGGGCGCGGCTGTGGCCAAGTTTGCAGGCAAGCACTTGCACAAGTTCATTACCAAGCGGCCGGAATACTTCGGCAGCTCCATCGAATTGGCCATGAAGCGCGCCTTCCTCGACTTCGACCGCGAGATGCTGCACAACGGCGGCTGGGGCGAGCAGATGGCAGGCTCCACGGCCTGTGTGGTGCTGATCAAGGATCGGCGCCTCTACTGTGCCAATGCCGGCGACTCGCGAGCCATTGCCAGCGTGGGCGGCGCGACGATCGCCCTCTCCGAGGACCACAAGCCCTGCAACGATGCGGAGGTGAAGCGCATTCTGGCCGGCGGCGGTCGCGTCGAGAACAATCGCGTCAACGGCAACTTGGCCCTGTCCCGTGCGCTGGGCGACTTCATGTACAAGCGAAATACCAGCAAGAGGCCGGAGGAGCAGATTGTCACTGCTAACCCGGACGTGACGACCTGCGATATCGACGACACTTGGGAGTTCATTCTGTTGGCCTGTGACGGCATTTGGGATGTGATGAATTCCCAGCAGGTGGGTGACTTTGTGCGCGAACGCATCGGCTACGGCATGCAGCCAGACGTGATCTGTGAGGAGCTGATGACCTACTGCCTGGCACCGAATGCCTACAACTATGGACTGGGCGGCGACAATATGACCGTTATACTCGTATGCATGCTGCACGACAAACCCTACGAGGACCTGAAGGTGCGCTTCGGCTTCAAGACAGGTGGGGTTGGCGATGCCTTGCCAGTCCTAAAGGTAGCTATGCCCCTCTCTCTGTCTCTATCTCTTTCTATATCTGATTGATTCGACTTCAATAGTATCAACTGCCGAGGCCTACCAGCAGTCGTCATCTGGAGAGTGCCTGAGTTGGCGTTTTTGGATCTGAGATTTGCAGACTTTGTTTCATTTTTGTTAATCGTTGAAGACCTTTTTTTTTGGCATATCACATAATTCACTCAATGTTTCAACATTCGACCATGCTGACATGTAGTTTTGTACCTACCTCACTACATATATATACATATATGCGTACATGCATCTATAGTTTTGATTAGCCGATCTTATCATCAGATATATCTCACAGGCCCTACCCAAAAATCCAGTAGCTCTTTAAATTTCCAGTCATATACGCTATTATTAGTCAATTGCAAAATAAAACAACTTGAAATGCAAAATGCTTTTGATACATTACTAAAAAGATTGTCTAATAAAGCGTTAAGCTGAATGTGGAAGGCAGTCTTCAGCTATAGATGGCGCTTTACTTGTTCGACGAAATTATTTGCTCTTGTCTCTCAATTGTGAATGATTTCAGCTGAGGAAAGTGCAGCAAGTATATTTGGTAAATGAAAACTGTGAATCGCAAAAAGTTAATTTTATTTCATGCAGTAAATATAAATATTTGCATATAAATATGTATAAGTGCGCTGCTTGAGATGGAGCACTCAACTGTAGATGGCGCCTTACCTGCTGAATGGAAAATGATGTACATATGTATTTGTATTTGAACTGTGGCATCGGTTTAGGGATGCTCTTGATACTCTGTAAGGCTTTCAGCTCATAATCATCACTCCATATATCATGCAAGAAGGTTTTGTTCCATTAGCCCCATTGCAATTTCCTAGCGCCCCCCAAAAAAACATCAACAACTTGTTTATTTTCAGGGATCGGTGGATCTCACTCGTTTAATTTGAAATAAATGTGCGTTCTATGATAATACATAATGTACTCTATATATATACGAAAATATATATAATTAAATTGATATACATGTATACGAATATATATATGTGTTTGCATATACAATATCTTTGGTCTGTTTTAGCTGTAGTTTGGATTTGTGTAGAGTATACAAAATGCAGTGTGCTTTGCTACAACAAAATCGAGAAAGGAGGGAAATAAAATAAGAAATTGAGCAAATTATAAACAATAGAAGTAATACAAAGAGAGGCACACAAAAATGTGCAAAATAATAGAAAGATTTGACAACTATACAAAATACATATGTATATATGTATGTATGCATGTATATTAGATATAGACATATGTATATTTGTATGTGTGTATGCGTGTAGAGGCTAATTAGTGTTTTGTAGTTATGTCAATTTGTTATTGCACCACATGCGGCCGTAAAGTGCTTAAAAATAACGCGACACATGCCAGACCCGACCACCCGAACACCTGCACCCGGCACCCGAGGCAGGAGGTCAGCTCGGCCCGGCCCGGCGCATGGCGCACTCTAAAGATACAAGACTAGAGATTCGCTCGTTTCTTGGACTTCCGTGCCGAAAGCAGGAAATCGCAATGCCTTACAAACAAAAGAATTCTAATTACTCTGTAAGTATATATGGCAAAAATAATATTTATATATATAAGTGTGTGTAAATTCTAAAATCAGTGATATATATAGCTTTATATATATATATATAATGTGGTTTAGTGCTAAAAGAAAAAATACTGGTTTTATGTTTTTCGCAAGTCTCTAAATCCTCGTTACAACTAGGCGTAGATCGATTGAGTTTCTGTTTCTGTTTCAGTTTCAGTATCTGTCTGTGTCTCTGTCAGTGTGCGTGTTTTTTGATTGATTGGAATCGTCTACTCTCTAACGGTACTTTAGCTCTTTTTCGTATTTATCACATATTTGTTTACTACATAAGCTCCTAGAAAATCGAATGCAAAATGGGATTTTTTTTTGGTTTTGGTTATGTTTTTGGTTAAATATTTTTGGTTAAGGTTTTTGTTTTTTAGTTTTTTGGTTTTGACTTTGGATTTTTGGTCATCTCCAAATTGTAAATCTCTGTCTCGTTTGTCTTTTTACAGTCTGCTGTTGGTGTGGTGGGCGTGGCTAGGCGACCATTGCATAGTTGCCGGTCAGCTCGAAGGGACTCGTTTTGGCCGAATGCGTGAAATTGTTCTTGGGCGAAAAGTCGACGGGCTGCTCCTGCTCCTGCTGCCGCTCTCGGTTCCTATCCGCATCCTCGCCAGCCGCCGGCTGATGGGCATAGGCCTGATGATGAGGATGATAGGGCAGCGCTAAGGGCAGCGTCAGCGGCAGCATCTGCTCCTGGTAGATTGCACTCGGATGCTGGAGCATTGTGGGCTGCAGCAGGCCATTGCGCTTATAGCTTTCGTAGTGCTCCAGACGACCGGGATAGCCATAGGCCAGAGCCTGAGCCTGTGCTTGGGCCTGGCGGCGATCCTTCTTCTGCAGCAACTTGTGCGCCAGCGTTGACTTTGCCGAGTCCGGCAGAGCCGCTGCAGAGGCAGCTCCTGCTCCTCCTGCCTCCAGTTGCTCCGACTGCTGCTTGGGCAGTGGCAGCACTTGGGTGGCACGGGCCGGCGCCTCGCTGCGATTCTTCATGCAGGAGGACTCTTCGTGCTTGTACAGATAAGACTTCAGGGCGAAGGCCTTGCCACAGCGGGCGCACGTGTGTGGCTTGGTATTCGAATGGGTTTGGATGTGGGCGCGCAAGTTGGACTTGTCCGCAAAGGCCTTGCTGCAGACGATACACTTGAAGGGCTTCTCGCCCGTGTGGGTGCGTATGTGGCCTTGCAGCAGCCAGGGCCGCGAGAAGCACTTGCCGCAGTACTGGCACTCGCAGCCCTGGTTGTGGGTGCGCACGTGCATCGAGAAGGCGGGCATCGAGACGTAGACCTTCTCGCAGAATGGACAGTGGCGCGCCTTCTTGTCCATGATTGACCTGGGCGGGAAGAGAGCTCGAATAAGTCCACGACTATTGTAGATGATGGAGTCAGGCTCACCTGTGTGTTTGTCTATGGCGTGCTAGATTGGAGGACGTGGAATATTTCTTGCCACACTCGGGGCAGATGTGCTCATCCTCTAGCAAGCTGCCGTTGATGCTGCTGCTGCTGCTACCGCCGGCCTGAATGGCTGATTGCTCGCTGGATTGGCTGCTGCTGCTGGCGATGCTGGCGCAGGAGTTCGAGTCAGAGATGGTGGAGCGACGCAGTTTCCTGCGGTCGAATACCTTGTGGCTGTAGGAGTTGTAGGTGGAGTCATCATCCGACGAGGCATAGAATATGTTGTTGCTGTTGTTGCTGTTGTTGTTGCTGTTGTTGTTGCCGGCCATGTTGTTGCCTTCGGCAGCTGTGCTGAGCGGTCCAGCCGCCAGTGTCACATTCGCCAGTTGCGTCAGATTGTACAGCTCCTCGGGTATGGGTGTGGCCAGCTGATCTTTGCTCATGGCGTCTGTAGTCAAGCAGAGCAAAAGAAAAGAAAAACAAACAATAAATTCCATGTGACGTATAAAAAGCATAAAGCAACCTGCTAATGCGCAGCAGATGCGTCACAATTAGCCACACAGCATCAACAAATATAGCTAGTAAGAAAATTCTAGTCGGCATTGCCCGACTAGCAAATACCCTGAGTCTTTCTGAATTCCTTATAACACTACATTATTCTATTTAGACAGGTCGTGCCAGCTTCCACTTCTGGGAGAGTGCTCTTTAGCAGCGGAGGCAAATATTGCATCAGTATTCATCAAGAGTCATCGGAGGTAAGTACAAACCTATCCCAAGCCTGTGCGGCTCTCTTGCAGCTCTTGTATTCTAAAATGTATTTTATGTTTTCAGATTATAACGCCACACAGCTTTACATGTCTATATGTATATTTAATGTTAAATAAGGCCTGTACATACATACGTTATATACATATATATTTCTAATGTAGATTTAAATCCACACAAACTATGTAAATTTAAAAGCAATAAATAGTGTTTGTCAATAATTAAACTGTTTTTTTATTTAACACTGGCATTTTTGTTGTTGGCAGTTAATGTTCAAAAATTAACCGTCAATTATATGCATTATGCAAAATATCGTTGCATAACTTAGGGGGCTTACGGCCGTTGGGACCCATATTTGAACTCACTGCCATTTAACATAATTATGCAAATGGTCTGTGAATTAACAGTACATCAACAGTATACGGTTACTAAACTGTTAAGTAACATTTTTCACTCTACTGCTCATTTCTGTGAGCCTGGTACTTCGTGAAATGCTCTGTTCCAGTGTGGAAGCACCAGGCGTACAGGAATGAGTAGTAGGGTGAAAAATGTTACTTAACAGTGGGTCAACGGAATTCTGTTAATGTACTGTTAGTTAACATAATTCTGTTAGTTACCATAACAGCGTGCTCACAGTGTATTGTTGACTAGAATTGGTTAGCCTACTCAGCATTTCTATTCGCCTGGTACTTTACCAAATTTCCATTCAAATTTAAACGGCCCAACGGCCACAACAGCAGATCTGCGAGGCTGCCATGATGTTAGTTAACATTTCAGCGTGCTCACAGTGTGCTGTTAACTTATTGTTGACTAGAATTGGTTACCCTACTCAGCATTTCTGTTCGCCTGGTACTTTACCAAAATTTCATTCAAATTTAAACGGCCCAACGGCCACAACAGCCGATCTGTGAGGCTGCAATGATGTTAGTTAACATTACAGCGTGCTCACAGTGTACTGTTAACTTATTGTWAACTAGAATTGGTTACCCTACTCAGCATTTCTGTTCGCCTGGTACTTTACCAAAATTCCATTCAAATTTAAACGGCCCAACGGCCACAACAGCCGATCTGTGAGGCTACAATTTTAAATGTTAAACGGTTTCTGTCGACTGGTTGTGATTTTAAAATTCCATTATATGTTTAGGCAAATAAAGGCCGTTAATAGACTTGGACTTGGGAAACTCTGCTGCTATTGCCAGTTGCATGAGGATTTCGTAAATTTAACGGATTTTGGGCTTCTTGAAGCTACGTGATATGCTGTAACCAAGAATGTGTGAGTCACTGACTGATAGCTATTGTGTACTTTCCGCCTGTTACATAGACTTTCGCAAAACCATTATACCCTGATTTCTTAATTTCATGTGTTCAGGGTATAAAAATAAAACATATATCTATCTATATATATAAATATATGTGCGATGTCTGTTAGTTATAAATATATTTTTGCTACTATTGCAGAAACCAGACTGGCCAACGGTTAGGTGGGCGAACAGAAACAATAATAAATGGCCTGGCTTTCGTGCTGGCCTGTGTATAGGGTATGCAGAATTCGTTGAGCTGCGTCATTTCTTTTATTTATATTTCATCAATTTATAATTAAGGACGAGCCAAGAGGCCAGCGTGGCCAACGTTGTCTGCATCATCGTCGTCACCTTGTTGCCGCGGCTGCTCACACACACGGGGCGTATGATTAACGTCAGCGCACAGCCGGCTCTGGCGCACTTGTTGGCTGCATTTTCTTCTACTTCTACTAATTTTTTTTTGTTTTTGGGTGCATCTGCGAAATAAATTCACGTCGCGCTGCGCATAATTTGTGCATGTTGTCTTGGCATTGATTAATCTCGCACGTAATAGCAACCATCTCCAACAAACGCAGTGCTACGTAGCTACGCTAGGCTATCCACCCATCTATCTATTTTATCTACCATTGCGTATTTATATTTAACGTAAAAACACAAACAAAATATGATAAATCTACACATTTCAGTTCTAGAGATCCTAAGTTTTTGGGTCCTTTGTATCCCACAGGTTTGCCTACGCAGCATTCTAATATTAATATATCTAATATCTTAAATCTAATTAAAATTGTGTAAATCCATAAATTCACTTATTTGCTTACTGAAGCTATTTATTTTTATCTAACTTTCTCTACATTTACCTATAAATTCACATTTATCTATCCTATGCAGTTCTATTTATATTGATTAACTATTTATTGATCTGAATTCTATTTCTGTTCAACTCTCAGCTCCTATCTGCTCCTTTGAGGTTTTTATTATTTCTACGAAATCGTTTTCAATTTTTTCTTAAATTTCTTTAAAAAATTATAATGGTTGATATTCCTCGAATCATTCTAGATTCAGGTGGCACTCGCATACCCTTATATATATAATTAATGTTATACGATGAACTATTAAAATTTCCAGGCAATCAAATTTTATATTTCCGATCTCACTTCGTCGTTGTTTATTGTTTAAAGTTCTCTTTCTCTCTCTATCTTTATGTTTTCGTAATCGTCTAAATAATCGATTAATGCCTATTGCCACAACAACAATAACAATAACAAATATGAGATGACGGGGGCGGGGGTGGGGCTAGCGTTGCGGAGGTCATGTGCACCTTGGATTTGTTTGTTTTTCTTTTTCTTTCTTTTTCCGTTTCAGACTTTCTGTTTGGCTCGGCCTGAGGCCAGCCGCGTGATGTAGGCGTGGTGCCCGTCCGCCTAGATCTTAACAAAGAACTAGTGGGCGGCCATTTGGCCTAAACAACTAGAGACTTTTGCAACCTGTTGCGTCTTCTTGGCGGCCAGTTCCCAAAAGAATTTCTCTTTTTGTTTTTCTTTTTAAAAAAACATTTGAAATGAAATTCATTTCGTAGAGTACATTAAAATGTTTGTACCCATAAAAATAATTCCTTGTGCAAAGCGGGAGAGGAAGAGGAAGGGACAGGGACAGGGGCAGCGGCAGGTGGCAAAGAATGTGCAGCTTTAACTACAACAAAATCGACTCATAAAATATTAGCTATGATCTACACCAGACAGTTTGTATATACATATATATCGGTATAAATATATATCGTATATATACATATTCATAAATTTGTGCCTTAACATTTATTTATACTTTCAATAAGTGTAGAGACCCTGCAGCACCCGTTGATGAGGCACAACCACCTGGTAATTTTCGCCCATTTAGCCAGCATACCTGTTCCACAGAAATTTCTACTAAATTATTTATAGGACTTTGACTGAGAGATTCGGCTGTTGTTGTTGTCGTTTTCGTTGTCGTTGCTGGGGGCTTTTTCTGCCAATTTCATGAAAATTGGAAACAAAGCTGACAAGTGGGAAATTTGTGGCTAGCTATGAATGTATTTTGCTTTTGGCTTTTCCGAGACCTCCTCAATGCTGTGCCATAATTCTGGTCGATGTCAGTTGAGCGCGAAAGATGAAGATGAAGACGAACCGAACAAGAAGCACCAGTCCGAGAGTCGCATGTTTCTATGACAGGCCGTTAATTAATTATTCGTTGGCCCGTGCTGCGATCGCAGATCGGTAATCGCAAATGACATCTCAAAGAGCAGGAAAAGCGCTGCTGCTGCTGCTGCAGCATTTAATGTTAATTGGCGCAGGCCGCCACAGCCAGCAGCACAACTATCAGCACAGCAGAGCAGAGGGGTAGGTGCTGCTGCCCGCTGGCTGCTGACTGCTGGCTGGGGCACCTAGCATGTAATATGGGCACATGTTGCTACCAACTCAAATCGAACTGCATTAATTTGGTTAAGACTATTTAAAGCTGATAACTGTGGAGCTCAAAAGCCTAGACGGAGAGACAGAGAGGGAAGACGGCTGTAGATAAGAGAAGTTAGTACGGGAGAGTTGGGAAAGGGTATCCAGAGACAGAAAGGAGAGTAGGTGAGGGAGCAAGAGGAGAGTAAGTGTTAGAGAGAAAGAGAAATATAGAGAGAGAGAGAGTGTGTATCATAATGAGATAATGAGCTGCAGCGTTTCATTGCTTTTCAATACCTAAACAAATAAGTTCTGTTCTGCTTAATAGACTCGACCGCCTCTTACGCATACGAATCCATTTTCTGCATTATTAACGAATAATTTATAAAATATGTTTTATAATGCGAAATAATCTTGAATGATAACATCCCACTTATTAGCCTGTTCTGTCATGGCAGGCAGAGAACGTATTTAACAGCTCCACCACATGCTACCTTTCATCAAGTCAGCCCCCACAGGCCCCAGTCCACAGCCCACGGTCCACGGTCCGCGGTCTGCGGTCTGCGGTCCACATGAGCCAAAAGTGTTTCGAGTGCATTTTGTAAACTCGACGCACAATGGACATGAAAATGCTTTTCTTTTATTTGTCTTCTATTTTCATTCTGCTTCTTTATTCTTTCCCATTCTCGTACATATATATTTACGGGCAAGAATCTGCGCAAAATGCGCTCGGGCCGAAGAAAGTTCAAAGTCCTGTTAATGTACACAAAGCAAAGAAATGTTAATGGTTGACGTGGCTGAGGGGGCGTGGGGGGAGAGGGGCAGAGCGGCGGCAGGGGATGGAGGCACCACTGGCCTCGCTGGCCTTAACAGTATTGGCTCGGTGGCTCGGTGGCTGCGTGCCACAGACTCGAATGCGCGTTTCGGCTATTTATAGAGGTGGATAGAGCAAGAGGGTGAGAGAGAGCGAGAGCGAGAGAGAGTTACAGCCAGGGCAGGAGGAAATACACGCATAGTTTACATTTAAGTTCAAACTTGAAAAAGATGCAAGATGCACGATGCACGATGCACGATGCACAATAAACAAATCGCTGGGCAGTGCGGCGCCTGCTGTGCCGGCCTAGAAGTCAATGCCACGGCAGTCGACTGACTGTCAGCCACACACAGGACTTGCGCCACACTCGCACACCTACGCGACTTCCTGCCTGTTGCCCCTTTCAGTTTCGAGTTGATCTTTTTGTTTATAGCTCCATCAGCGCTGGACTCATTGCCAGTCACATTGGGCACATGTTTACGCCGCCTAATTATAAACAAAAACGGGACACAAAGGATCTCTGAGCTATTTAAATACATACATACATGTATAAACAGTATATGTCAGATTGATGTAAATATCTCATCATCCAAATACAATTAAAGTTGGTTTATCGGTTTGCAGCTGATCTGTGATCTGGTCAATCTTCATGTACGCATGTAGATCGTATAAATATATAATCCTATATACATGAATATATATAGAATATATGTATGTGTTCTTTACTCAACGTCCTTTGAGTGTCGTTAGATAACCTGATTGACTTTTTATATGGATCATTGATATAATACTTGTGTTTCTTATAGATACTCCTTTTTGGTTACTACTAACAATACTATTCTACTACTAGTAACTACTACTAATACAATGAATATTACTAATATTACTAACCCTACCAATACAACTAATAGTATTAATCCTACTAATACAACTAATATTACTAATCCTACTAATACTACTAATACAACTAATATTACTAATACTACTAATACTACTAATACTACTAATATTACTAATACTACTAATACTACTAATATTACTACTACTACTAATACTACTGATACTACTAATATTACTAATCCTACTGATACAACTAATTTTACTAATCCTACTAATACCACCACAACTACTACTTTTAGTACTACTACTACTAGTACTAAAAACAGTACTACTAATACTTATACTTACTACTAAAACACGCGCTTTGTTTTCCAAATCATTTCCTTCAATTCTACGCAGTTTTTGTCTGATCAGCACGGCGCATGGCATGACTTAGCTGAAATACAGCTGGCTATATGACATATATACTCTAGCCTATCTATACTCTGTATTCTTTAGTCGAGATGTTTACGCAACTAACGTGAGAGAGATGGCATGTAAGTTGTCAACAGCTCTTTCGGTTGTTGTTGTAGGGCAGTTTCTATGAGTGCAACCCATCTGCTTGGCCCGATCATTGCCAATGCAAACACATTTCTCACGTAAATGTCAAAATATCAAAGAAATCATAATATTAATTTAACAAGTGTGGCCCGATAGTTCTCTCTCCCTCCCACTCCCTCTCTCTATGGGATAATTAAAAAGAAAAAATCATGTTGCTCATCTGCCAAAAGATTTGTCTTCAGTATATAGTATAAGAATAGCCCAGAGGTTTTGCCTATTGGAGCAATTGTGTAATTCGCAAACGGGATAGACACAGACAATAGGCACACCCTATACTAGAGATAGGGATATAGACATGCAGATATCTACATATCATGCTAGATGGATACTCACCCTAACTGTAAGACACGCTGTGGATCAGGAAGTCAGCCCTGCGTGGGGGTTAACTGAAGCGTGATCGTTCCAAATGGATGTGAATGGATCGTTGCTGTTGCTTGGCGCTCAATATAGACGATGATTCAGCCGAATGTTTGGTGTCGAAGCGAAATCAATATAATATATCACCACGCACAGCACTCGGCTCCTCCTCGGCCCCTGCTCGGCGCTGTCTGATTGTTCTTGATTCACGATTTGCACGAGCTTTTCATCACAAGGAACAACAAGAAGATACAGATACAGATTGAGAACGAGATACGTTTAATGCACAAGTGTTTTGTTTTCGGCCCGACTACTTAATCGATCCGCTCCGATCCAATCCTCAACTATTGCTGTTGCGGATCACTGGGCAGGCAGGCAATGGTTTGCACGGTGCGCGCACTCGCTCTTTATAGCTCTCTCTTTCTTTATTATGTTTTCTTTTCTTTTCTTTTGGTACGAACGCAGCGAGATCTCGGAAAGAACTGAACTTTCTTGGCGATGGCACTTACAGTTTTTACATCTCTGCCGCTGCCGCCACGGCTGCTGCTGCTGACGTCGAGGAGGTGACGATGCCTACGCCGACAGCCGACAGCCGACAGCAGCCGACAGTTGAGAGCCGACAGCTAGCAGCTGTTTGTCCGAGGATCGGCCGCCGAATGCCTCTCGGTTCTCCCCTTTGGAACAAGTGTGTGCGGTTTAAAAATAAATTGAAAATAATGTTTTTATTATGCTCCCTCTCYCACTCGCTCGCTCGCTCGCACGTTCGTTCGCTCTAACTCTCCCGCTGCTGTGCCGTGCACATTTTCCAAAAGGGAAACACACACACATCGAGAGAGAGACACACACACTCACGCATCTATTTGCCGTGCTTGTGGCTTCGGCAAGGACCACTGCGCAGAATTTTTCTAACGCAGCGTCAAGTTGGCAGCCAGACGACGGCAGCCAGTGTCAAAAACCTCACAGATCGCTGCTGCCCCCATGCCGCTACAAGGCATCTCTCGAAGGAGAGCGAGAGCGGGAGAGAGAGAGAGAGAGACCGAACGCTGCGGTTGGCAGCAATTCCGCCGGTTCAGATTCAAATTCTGGGCTGTTGGTGACGCAGTCGAGCAATTTGGCATTTTGAAATAGCTGTTTGTACTTTTTGCGTGGCCAGCCAAAGATAGATTCGCTCACCTGACGCCGCTAGCCCACCGCCCCCCGCCCGCTCGACGCCGCCTCCCGCACGCCGTTTTCAAACGAACGTCTGCAACACAGGTGTTGTCGGCAGCTACTCTCAACAGTTGAGTTGCTCAAGCGTACTGAACTTAATGTCGCTCTGTCAGGTGTTGCCACGGCAATGGGGCTCTGAATTGGGCATAGCTCTTACGTATTTGCATATCCTATAATCAAATACCTGCGTACTACGTACGTACAGATCTGTTTGAATTCTCTATGATTTATGTCTCTTGTTGTTGCCTTGATTTGTGTCTGGTTCTAAGTGGATTTTGTTGTTGCYGCAAGATTTATACTGTTGCAGTTGCAGTTGCACGCATTAAATATTATATATAGATCTTTTTACAACTGACTGCAGGAACTCAAGAGATCTCAAAGTGAAAATGATAAAAATTGTATATTTAGATAAACAGAGCAACAAGCTGCAGTAAAAATTTTATTGATACTTTTTCGAAAACATGTAATTTACATATTGCAAAGAGGAATTCCTAGTTCATTTCAAATTACTATTTCTATTTTATGCTTTCAAATAGTATAAGGATCAATATTCAACGTACTCGATAACGATCAATGGGATCTTTACAATGCTGTCTGTCGTTGAGAATTTTCACACTTTGCTGTGGCTTCGACCCACGCAATACGAAAACAAAGGAAATCGAATTGGCTTGCAGATAAAGCTGTGCCATCCCATAGCTCAGGGTGTTTTGCTGTCTGGCGCCAACATGGAAATGCAATTTGAATACAAATACACACATACTTACGTACGACATGTGTATGTATATGCTCGTATATAGAGGGTCAAGTTAGGCCATGCGCCATGCATCACAGTAGCAGATCAGCTTTTGGACCAAGAAAGTGGCGACAAAGCCGAGTGGTTGCTGGGAAGCGGGGGCAGATGGACACTTGGAGGGGTGGAACAGTGTGACATGTGCTAAAGACATCCGTGGCAGCTTGCGTCGACTTTAATCACGGCAATTAATAAAAGAGAGTCGCCTGCTGCCACAAAGGAAGGAAGTATCAGAGAACTAGAACGAAGATGCAGAGAGGTGGTGGGGCGGGGGGACTGTGTACAATGAGCTGAAAGTTACACTGCATCACCCGGAGCGCTGAGTTTCTGGAAAAGTGAAACGCTACTGGCGGCCATAAATCTATTTTGGTCCTGATTCCTCAGCCAATCTCCCACTGCTCTCGACACTCGCTAAGGCCAGGGGCCTCACTTGCTGCGCAATTGCAGTTGGCGATGCCGAAGACTCTTCTTATTTTTAACTCCAGCCTTTCTTTGCGTAGGTAAGATGCAGTTGGAGATGCTCCCATAAATCCCACATAACAACGAAGCCAAAACAGAGAAGAGCGAGCAGAGGGCTGCGGCAGAGGCAGAGGCAGGGGCAGCGGCAGGCAGCTTTTCCAATTATTTACAGAGATAAATAAAGCGAAATCGCCTTAATGTGAAATTCAACAGGCAGACAAAATGAAAATAACAACAACACAAATATTTCGCATTTCGCTGCTTATTCATTTCTTTTTTGTTTTGTGTAAATAATATTATAATCGATTTCAAATGAAAGAGTCTTTAGCTTGCGGTTCCATAAATTATCTTGTTAATCTTTTTCGAATTTCTCAGAGTTCGTTTGCAGCCCATCACAATGGGTAAAAAATGAAATTCCTCTTTTAATAGGATTGATCAACTTCGTAGAACATGTTGTGAGGTTCAAGACTAACGGGGCAAGGCTATGTAATTTTATATAATACAATATATAATATAAATATAATTTACTTGGGTGAGAAAGCAAAATATATATATTTTTTTAATATATAAAAATTGAATGCTGGTAACAAATAGTTTTACATATATTTACATCCTATTTTGTGTGAAAAGCTGCTCAGATAGCTCCTATTTCGTCACCCAATTTTTTCATTGATCACTGCGTCCTGTTTACCGTAGTTGTTGCATTGTTTAAATTATTGAACAATTAGTCAAAACATTTGTTTGTATCTGGAAAAACGGATTGCTGCGTGTCGGATCTGAGAAGTGGTCGACCCTCGGAGCAGAGCCGGATATGCTTGTAATTCCTGCATTCGAAGTCGAATTTCAAAGAGGAAAAGACAAAACATCATAAAGTTCTATTTTTAATAACGACAGGCGATTCAAATTAGGGGGAGTTGACGACTGACAGAGAAGGTGGCGGGCGGCGGGCGGTGGGCAATGGGGAGTGGGCGAAGGTGCAGCGGGGATCGATCCCAAGCTATATTTGAATTCTGAAGTGCAAGTGAAGCGGCCAACGATTCCAAAGGTGGCTGCCACTTTGCGCAGAGCAAGGGAGCGATGGAGCGAGGAGAGGGAGGGCGGCCTGGCTGCATGCGCTTGGCGTGTGCCGCCACTTGATGTGAAAAAGGGAGTAGCTGAAGGAGAGTGAGAGAGAAAGAGAGGGAGAGAGAGGCACTGCAATGCAATACATCTGCAACAGGCAGCGAGCGACCTGCGGCATGCTTAAAGATACGCATGACAGACATATACATACACATATGCACATATGTACATGTGTATATCCATATCCATTCAGCCACAGTTTTAAAATTCAAAGAAACAAAAGCGGAAATGTTGTTGTTTTCCCTTATACTTTTAACAGCAGCAACAAGCAAACTAAAATAAAAAAACATCAGGCCCATCATCATAATCGCCGCCGAAATAATAATGATATTTGTAGATAATTTGTTTCTGTGTAACTACCATACAGCCCTGCTCAAATTTAAAAAAATTGCGCCATTTTGTTTGTGGCAATAATAATAATGTTAACATAACAGAATCGTGCTATGTTATCGATAGTCATGGCTCGTCGACTGTGAGCGTGCGATAGTTTGAGTTATCGCAGAGTTGTCGACAACAATGTCATATTCGTGTTAAGCATTGTACAAATTCTCGAAATTTTCGCGCATTGTATTGCGAAAAACTATGAATTCGTATTGTTGGTGTTGAAAAGCAAGTGTAAAACTTCACGCAAACAATTGCAAAATTAATTCATAGCAATTGCAACGCACATATTGCTTATACCAATTGCCAGCAGAAAACATGGCGCCCACACCGTTGCCACTGGAGCAAATGCCCGGCGCGAATGCGGGCTATCTGCCAGCCGGTCAGGAAGGAGGCCCACGCATTAACACCATGTCCATGTCGGTGCTGATTGATTTCATCATACAGCGCACCTACCACGAACTAATGGTTCTAGCTGAACTGTGAGTGGATTGTCATCCTGCAACTCCTGCAAAGGACTTGACACATTTTTAATATTATTTGCAGGCTGCCGCGCAAGACGGATATGGAACGAAAAGTGGAAATTTATGCTTATGCGGCACGCACGCGACATTTGTTCACACGGCTCAATGCGTTGGTCAAGTGGGGCAACTCGGTGTCCAAAGTGGACAAAAGCTCTCAGATAATGAGCTTTTTGGATAAGCAGAACATGCTCTTCGTAGAGACGGCCGATATGCTGGCTCGGATGTCGCGAGAGACATTGGTGCGAGCACGTTTACCCAACTTCCACATACCCGCCGCAGTCGAGGTCTTAACCACAGGCACCTACAATCGTCTGCCAACGTGCATACGAGAACGCATTGTGCCACCGGATGCGATTACGCCGGCTGAGAAGAGGCAGACATTGCTGCGTCTCAATCAGGTCATACAGCACCGGTTAGTCACAGGCAAATTGTTACCACAAATGCGTGACTTTCGCATACGCAATGGCCGCGTCACCTTCGAGGTGAAACACGAATTTAGCGTGGCTCTCACCGTCATGGGCGACAGTCCCACTGTGCCGTGGCGTCTCCTGGACATTGATATTCTTGTGGAGGACAAGGAGACAGGCGGTAACTGACGTACGAAACAACATCTTACTGTCAATTATATTATCTTCTCTCTTGGCAGATGGCAAATCATTGGTGCATCCGTTGCAGGTCACCTATATACACCAATTGATTCAAGCGCGTCTCGTGGAGAACCCGAATGCGTTGAGCGAGGTGTACAACTGTTTACACTACTTCTGCCAGTCGCTGCAGTTGGAGGTTCTCTACACTCAAACGCTGCGCTTGAACTACGAGCGACTCGACGACAACAATATCAACGTGGAGGAGTATGTGCCGGGCGTCAAGCTAACGGTGTCCTATTGGCGTGATCTCAAGTCGGAGCTGGGCTACCGCCTCACTGTTCAATCGGATCCCAGTGAAATTGGTAGACCTCTGGTCGTTGTCCATGTGCCCTCTTTAGGTGCCAAGGAGTCTGCCGAAGTGGCAGATCGGGCTGTGCGCTCGGAGCATCTCTCCATGGAGCGGCTGATAGTGCACACCGTTTATATACGATCCGTGTCTCGCTTAAGTGATCTCAAGCTCGAATTCCAGGCTTTTCTTAAAGACGTTGACTGTGAGTGTAAATGTTCCCAGTTTCTTTAGATTCGGCTCCATTTATTAATGGACCTCTTTCATTTCAGTTAACCTGCAAGGTACACCCGCAATTTTGACGGTGCCCGTCCTGTCACCCTGCTTGCGCGCCGAGCAGATTCACATAACCATTGACACGCACACTGGCATGTTCCGCTGTCACGTACCCAAGCACCTGGACTGTCCAATTACGGATGAGATGCAGGAGTGTTTGAATACGGATCGCAGCAAGCTTCCAGCTTTGCTATCGGAGCTACGCTATTGGATTACCCATCGTCGATGCGAGAAAACATTGCAGCATCTACCCGCTACGGCTACCGAAACTTTGCCTTTTCTCGCTCCACCCGAACAAGAACTCTTGCAGCCAGGCCGTCACAAGATCTATGTCAAGTTACATCGTCATCCCAATATTATTCTGGTATGTGCACATAAAATCTTTAGAAATGACTCAATAAATATCCTTTGTGGATTTTAGGTTGTTCAATTAAAGGAAAAGTCTGCCATGCCCAACGAAATGGAGTACACCTTCCATCTGGGCTTTGTGGCCTTTCAAAAGGATGAGAACGATGTTATAGACGAGTCGGCCAAGCAACTTGTTTCCATTGTAGCTCAACCGCCATCAGAAATACCCAAATTCTACACAAAGCTAATACGTTTAATTGAGTTTGACACCTTTGTAGCTACACATGGCCCCGGCACTGAAGTCGACGGTGAGTTCTGCTAGCTTCGTTTTTTTAGACAGATATAATTGTTTTGACATATCCTTAACAGAGGTGTCCCCGCATAAGCGAAAGTCTAATGGTGATATTCTGGCACCACCGGCCAAGCAGCAGAAGACTATTTTCCCTGCATATTTTATACCAGAACTCGCGCACGTAGTAGCAATGTGCGATGAGAAGATACCATTCCTCAATCTGGCTCAAACGCTCTCTAAGTACCGCATTCCGCATAGCGGATTGCAAGTGGAGGCGAATGCCACGTCGTTGGTGCTGAAGATTCTGGCATTGCCCAAGCCTGGCACCCATCAGGCACCGGGAGCGACAGGCGAACAGAAGCCAGCTCCGGCACCCAGTACATCATCGGCACTACCAAAGATCGAGCCACATGTCTGGGAAGATCTTATGCGGCGCGTTCTGTCGATCTCGGTGCGCTCGCAGACCAACAAAAACAGCCAGGTGCGCATCTGGGTGGTCGAGTTTGTGTTCTACAGCACGCCTCTGCAAAGCACTCACCAGAAGGAGCTTGGTAGTCGACGCACTGTCAATCTCACCTACGAGCAGGCCACTCATGATTTCTCCAAAACAGTCGAGGACCTACTTAATGATTGGTCTAAGATCGTTTACCTATATACGCTGGTTTACGATTTCGCAGAGCAGCTGCGCAACAGTAAGTACAGATCAATCCTAAATAAGCTATCTAGTTATTTATACTTACTCTTATATTTCCATAGAGCGTCTGAGTCTGGGGGACATGCTGGTGGTCAAGTCCTACACCTACGCCAACTTGTTGATTGGCTATGGACCCAAGAAGGAGGTCACCTGCAATATTTATTGGTCTGTGCAGTCGCATGGCTTCCGATTGGTATTCGTGGGTGGCATCTCAGCTGTGAATGCGCACTCCATGATGCGTGAACAACTGGCCCAACATCTAAATCAACAGCACAGTCTCACGTCCATTGCTCACATACTGCACGAGACCTACAATCCGATGAGCTCCATAGCCAAGTTGCCAGTGATTCCGGTGCTGGGCGTACCGGTTAGCAATAGATATATCTATATCATTGATGATTCTGTAACACCTTTCGTATTTACAGCGCCCCCAGGTGCCCGTGCTATCGTTCTGCATGCTGCCGCAGTCGCCCTGCTTGATGCGTCTGACCTATCAGGCTGTGTATTGTCTGGAGTTGCGCTTTCGTGCCAATCGGCTGGTGTCCATTCGTGATGGCGCTAGTAACCGCTTTGATCGTAATATCATCGAGGAGTTCACTCCCATTCAGGGCCTTAAGGCATTCCTATCCAAGTACGTGGATGAGTCGGCGGTGTATAGAGGTCGTGCACCACATGACGACGACAATCCGCTGTCTCCCATGGGTTTAGAGGACAACTTTGGCGGCCCAAACAGCGTTGCGGGAGTTGGCGCAGGCGGATCTTCGCCTTTCCTAAGCGCCGGCATGCGTGGCCCGCAGTCTCCACGAGATAGCGGTCTCCGCTTTCCAGCACCACATACGCCGCCGTCCAGCTCCAATCCGCATACACCAGCGAGTCCACATCCCAGCTCTAGTGGCGGCGGCGCCAGTGGAGGCCAGAGTCATGCGAATTTCAATTTGACATCGCCACCAGCACCGCATATGCCGCATCCGTCGCCAGGTGGCCTGATGCCCTCATCGCCCCTGAATCCACAGCCCAGTCCACACATGGTGCACAGTCCGGGACCCAACACTTTGTATATGCAAAGTCATCAGGATTCGCCATTCACAGCTATGTCGCCGGCGAATAACAATTGGCCCGGATCTCCAAGCATGCCACGTCCATCACCCCGGCCCGGGCAGAGTCCAGAGCACAAGAGCACGGGTGGGGGTGGCCCAGGTGTGGGCGTGGGTGGTACCGATCGAAGTGGACAGCGCGGTACTCTCAACCGACCATGGGCCGGGGCTGTGCCCACGTTGCTGACTCATGAGGCACTGGAAACGCTGTGCCGACCCAGTCCGCATCCCAATAAAGATATCAACGTGGGCGATATGAGTCCCCTTGAGCGGTTCTTGGGCTGCGTTTACATGCGGCGCCAGCTGCATCGCAACATCCAAAGCGAGGAGTCGTTGACGGCGCTCAACTCAACGGAGCCAGGCGTAGTGCTCTTCAAGGTGGATGGGCTGCAATGCCAAGTGATGCTCAATCAGCTGCACATGCAGTCTCTGCATCTGAAGGTCACCCAGCTCCCACCCATGCCAGACAAGCCCACTTTCCAGCTCAGTCCCGACGATCTGCTGGTCATCGAGCAGTACTTCGACACACGAGTGGCCGCGCCGCCTTATCGACCCAATGCACTGCACAGCATGTGTCGACTATTGAATCTGCCCGGTCATGTGCTCAAGGACTTCGTGCAGATCATGCGCCTGGAGCTGAAGCCCGAGCTGGGAGGCGATCAGCTTAAGTGGACCGTGCAGATGTGCCTGCGCATGTCGCCGTCGGCCTTGCCCATCGTGCCCATTGGCAGTGCCTGCGTAGTCCTGGGTCGCATGAAGATCCTGTTCTTCCTGCACATCACACGCATACCGTACAACGGCAAGGACTGGAAGGACAGCCCCTCGTTGGTGCTGCCCATTGTTCATGACATAGCCTCAAACCTAACGCAGGTGGCGGAGAGACGCGAACAGGTGCAATCGCCTCTGATGGCTGCTGCGAGTACGCTGCTGCGTGGCTTCGCTGACTACGGAGTGCAGCAGAATCGCTGCTCACTCTTTCCAGCCGTCACGGAGCTGCTGACCAATCTGGCCGTGGATCAGCCGGCGCCGCCACCCAACCAAGCAATCGGCGCGCCTGTGGGACTTGGCGGCGTCGTTGGCGTTGGCGTGGGCGTAGTTGGCGCTAGCCCAAACACAATGATGCCCATGCAGCAGTTGCAGCCACAGGTCGGACATGGGCCCCAGCTTGGCCCGAATCCGGGTGGTCCGCAGTGATGAAGGCGCAAGCGCCGCGCCTCCTCGCAACAGCCGTGAGGCGGAATCCAAGGCGCAACTGCGAGCAACACACACAAACACAGGGAATTCCCAACTATCATTCATTTATTTATTGTTTAAAATACAACACAAGTTTGCAACATTCACTAGCGTCCACGGAAGACGAGAGACGAGTGTCAAGATCAAAATCCAGATCCAGATTGAGCTATATAAAAATGTAATATCCAGCATACACAATACGCATTACAATACGAAACTATTGTACAAAAGAGATGCACTAAGTACATGTAATAAATCACTAACTAACTGTAAAGCTAACTACTCTAATCGTAAGAGCATTTGCCTGATTATTTGTTTTTGCTTTGCTTATATCATTTATCACATGGGTCGGCCGTCGAGCGATTCTGTGAGTGCTTGCACCGAGGTTAGTAAATATAGTTGTTTGTGTTTCTTATGTACCCTTGCTGAGATAGACCTTACGAAACTGAACGAGGTGGAAATACTTCTGGAGTAACTCATTTAGATTGGTTCCAACTTAATCGCACAGAAGAAATTGTCGACCGATTGGACTGTAATAGTCAATAATGTACATTAGTCAAGAGATACACGATTTGATGGAATTCAAAACAGAAATCGGAAAACGAAGGATAAAAGACAAAAGGATAGTTTCTTAAGGATTTGCTCTTGTCTTTTAGCAAGGGTATACAAAATTCGACAAGGCCGAATTTAAAACTTGTTCTACTGCTTAGCTTTTTGCGCTCTTTTTTTTGGCTGCATTGCGGTTGCGGCTTCGCCGCTTTAAGCTGTCGCAATTTGCGTGTTGTCCATTTGGTTGGTGAGCTCTGCGATGCCCTCCTCCTCGTCCGAAATGAGATCGACCCAGTAGCGCAGGCGCTTGCTGCGCAAATAGCTGGCCGAGTTGTCAAACACAACGGTGTCTAAATGGGTAGAGAGAAAACATTTAGCACCTATGTTCATATATAGTGTAGATATGTAAGCAACTCACATGTGGTGTTGGGTCTTGTGGAGATGCAGCCCACCTCATCCATTTCGTTGGAGTAGACGGTGCCAAGCGGCACTTCGCTGCGCTTCTCGCCCGTCTTCTCGTCCACGCTGTAAATGCCAAATTTTATGTCGTAGTCGAAGGTGCGGAAGTTCCACGAGAGCAGCTGCTCCTCCTGCTGCCCATTCACCTTGAAGTTCAGCTTGAGCTTGTCTCCCTTGGGCACTTGGGTGTCGGTGAAGTTCTTGTCGCTTTGCTGGCTGTTCTGATCGATGTAGAGCTCCTCGGGCAGCTTGCCACCCCACACCATCATGGACTTGCACTGGGGATCGCCCAGTTTGTCGACAAGCTGGCCGCCCCAGCTCTTGGGAAAGTTCTTGGGATCAACGAGTGAGAACAGCGACTCCTGCCACTTGTCCACGCCGGACTTGTAGATGTGAATCTTGCTGGTGGTGTTCTCGTCCAGGAACTTCTTCACTATGTTAAAGGCCACCGAGAAGAGCTTCGGTGCATTGATGATGTAGCACATTTTGAGCAGCTCTGGGAAGTTGGCCTCGTACTGCTTGATGGACGAGATGACGCACTCGGCTGCTGGCCGCCAGGCGTACTGCTTCAGGTTCATCGACTCGCAGTCCAAGAAGACGACCAGCTGGCGCGCCTTCCAGCCATGCTTCAGGCTCTGCTCGTAGGCGAGCTTCATGAATCGCTCCAGCAGCAGAACCAAATACTTTTGAAACTCGAAACGAGTGACGCAGTGCATCATGCCCCAGATGTCATAGTTGTAGAACGGACAAACGATTACTAAAGAGAAAAGAATAAGATGAATCGCTATATAAGTAATAGATTTACTCAAGTACCTGGCGATCCCTCCTTGTCGAAGCCCATGACGCCATAGGGCAGATACTCGCGCAGCGCCTTGGGAGCTTCCCACTTCTCTATGTTATCCACGTTCCACATGGCGCGCGTTTTGAGACTCTATGAGAAGATATTCAGAAGATCATTCAGTAAGATCAGTGATATATATTATGTAGTAGATCAGCAGTTAAACTTATATCGAGCAGATCAGGTATATATAGCAGTATATAGCAAAGATACGTACCGCTTTAAGCATTTTCTCTGCAGCCTCCACATTCCATTTGCGAGCTATGGGAGAGAGAGAGAGAACTTTCAGTTTATAGCTGATTATCGTTCACACCTGTAACTCACCTCGCAGCCAGCGCAGTAGAAAATAATCATCATGCGTCTCGTTCAGCTCGGGGCTCATCAACTTGCGGAACTGCAAAGGTGCAACAAATCGGATAAATTGATAGTCAAAGTTAACCTTGACTTAAAGCAATAACTGTTGACCATGTGGTCAAGCATAGAATAGAATTCATAGTGAATGAAACAGTTCGATTTTTAATTTCACTAAATGTGTTTGTTTTTCCTCAATTCTCTTCATGGCACTGTTTAAGCTGTAACACCTGTTGTGTTATACCGGGCTTATACCGTTAATCATGTGACTGCAGCTGGGCGTCGCTCTGCATATCAATCAAGCCACAAACACAATCGCAACTTGGCCTTAATAACTGTTAATTTCGAGCTGAATCAATGGCAAATTTAATATTTGTCTGAATGATAATTATACTCTGTATAATTGAAGGGGTGAGGTATACTATTGAGGTTTGTGGGGTTTACTGTTGAGGTTTTTAATATTCAAAAGATCTTCGTAACATCTCCCTTTTTCAAGTTAGTTTGAGTTTCGTTTTCTTTTATTACACATATCTACAGGGTATTCGCTATTCGGTCAACTGCCCACGTTTTGCTCTCCCAAAAGGTCGCCTCGTCAAGGTTTTGATTAATTATTTTCCTGTTATATTTTGATGTGACTCAAGTTCAATCGAATTGTTGCCGCATTGAATTGAAGTCGGGGAAATGAAAAGGCGACAAATCGCAACAATTTATAATTGGCAATAAAATGTATAAATTTAATCAATTGTAGGTGCAATTGCTCAATGTAGGAGGTAACGTGCTTCGATTGTTTAATTGAGCGTCGCAACTAGCTGCCAAAACAGCGAAGCTTGGCTAAAGGCTGTTCACTTGGCAGTCGCTCACATTTGGCTGACGGCTCGCTTAGCTTGGCTCAGTTGCGTTTAGACCACACTTGAAATTCAATAACGAGGCCAACTGCCAGTTGTTCATGTGGCTTTTGTTTTCATTTTGCTTTTGCTTTTGTCTTTGGGCTTGAACTGCAGGCCAAGACGTTGCCGCCGCTTCTTGAAGTCGTAAAATGATTTTCATGTCAATGCAAGGGACTGGGGCAGGGGCAGGCGCTAGCGTGGTCTGAGGGGATGAGGGGAAAACAGTGATTTGGCTTGGTTTTCATTAATGGTAAGTATTTTTAGCCAACTTCCTCATAACTCAGCCGCCTTGCAGCTGCCTATTGCTCACTTTGCTTTGTGCTTTGTTCTTGTTTTTCTACCAAAGCCGCAAACTTGGTCAAGACTTTAACAATTTGCAGCCAAATAAAACAAGTTAGTTGAAAATAAAACACAAAAAAAAAAAACAAGGCTAAGAAATCTTAAAAGCCATTTGGCAGTTAGCGAGGTGTGGATTGATGCTTCGGTGATCGCAGCAGCGTTTAAGCTCTAATTGGAGTTGAAATTGAATGGAAAATTCAATAAACTGAGCATGTGAATAATCCAATAAGAATTCTATTTAAATTACAGTAGGTATATAAAAATATACATTTTAAATCAGCTGACTCATAAGGTCTTCAAAAATTCCAGTAACACTTTTGGCTTTCAGTCACTAAAGCCGCCTCCTCCAACTTCTCTTTCTATTTATCTGCAACTGCGAACTTAACGGAATCGTAAGGCCCTTGACTTGGTTGGCCTTTTAGCCACTCGGTTGGCTCTTGGCGTTAAATCAAATATTGAAAGTATTCGCTTGGCTATTTGGCTCATTCGGGACTTTCCATGCTGAGAAAACAAACCAGTTGTTGAAAGCGTGCACAAGTAAGAGTGAGAGAGTTACAAAGAGAGAGAGAGGGAGTGACTAATGTATACCCCCTTGCGCTTAATATAATCTTTGGCTATATTATTAACTAAGCCAAGTTAAATATGCGCCTTGTTTTCTGATTGCAAATCCATATTTATCAATTATGAGATTAAACACCATCAATATACCCCATCTATTGCAGCGCCTACAGGGTGTACCAATAGCAGAACTCATTAGCATGTGGTGGGCACACCCAAGGCATAGGTGAATACATCTAAATAAGTATACATGGATTATATATTTATATATAGTCGTTCAGTTATGCTGATTGCTTCGTACTTGGCCAAAGGGTCGCAATCAGAGATCGCTCCATGCTATTTCGAGATAAGTTAATGACAATTTATAATTGCGCTCGATCTGCCTTGAACTGGTTTTTGTTTAATTGTGGCACTTTAAGCCAAGCAAATAAATATGGATAAGTAGATTGTGGGTGGGGGAGAGTTGGTGTAGGGGCATCCAGTACTAATTAACATCTGTTAAGAACGTTGAGCTGCAAGTGCATCCACTAACATCCCATAACTCATTAGTAGGTCCCACCTTTTGGTTTTGAAGTGGCTTTAACCGTTTGACCATATTCGGTTGAGTTGCTCACACAATTTGAGGGCGGGCCAGGGGCTGGGTATGCAGATTTGCTGCCTACTTGCAGCCGAGAACAAACGTCAACAAAGCGCAGCAGCTGCACATGCTGCCAGCCACATGCCGCACAGTGGGCCTCAGCGCATGCAAAGTGGACATTGGATGTGGCTAGGGGCTATACAGATATGTGCATATGTGCATACAAATGCATGTACATACATATATATGTATGTATGCTGTCACGCTCCATTGAGTGGCTCGTGTTGACTCAAAGCTCTAAGCGCATTTAAATGCGCAATTTATCGTATTGGCAAGGCCAAAGAGACCCAAGGAAGACATGATAAAACACGATATATATTCGGTGTATGTATGTGTGTGTGCATGCATGTAAATTTGTGTTTACCTATTTCGCAATGCAAATGAGAACGGTAAGACCGGTTCAATTCTCAGTTATTCCAACTAAATCAAAAATTTATTATGCGCGTAATCTAAGAGAACACCCACTCAGAAGCCTAACTTCTGCACCAATTTACAGGCTTCTACTACACCCACACCCACACACACTCATACACCGAGAGAGCGAGAGAGTCTAAATATATAAGAAAGAGAGACAGTGTGAAGATGCGTTACGCTCTCTCACCTGTTCCAATGTTTTGCGCTGCTCGGCGCTGATTTCGGGCAGTGGACCAGACATTTTCTATATATATTTGATTTAAAAGTTGTTAAATTTTTGCAATTTAATATGTTATGCACACACATACACACACGCACAAACACGCGAGCGCACTCCAATTTCGTTATCTCTTTTTGATGATTCGTCGTTATTTCGCTTTTTGGTTTATTTATTTTTTGTTTTGTTTTTTTTTTTTTTGCTGTTACTGGCTTAAATAAAATAACAATAAAAACTTTCTATGCTTGCGTATGTTTTGTTGTCGATTCGGGCAGACTGTTGCATATTTCAAGCGCAATTATTTGGTATTTTACTACTCAGCTTTAGTTGACCCTCATCTGGGACGGGCTAATTACAACAATTATACAAAGCAAGCAGCAGACACTGTCACAGTCACAGTTACACGCACTACGCAAATACACGAAACACGGCGTCAATTTTGGTTTGCTTTTGTTTTGGTTTTCGAGCTGCCGCCGGAACTGTAGCGAACGGAACTCAATTTAACCCCAATGCGATGCGTTTGACGGACGAAAACAAACTGAACTTTAATGCGAAGCGGACTTGCTTCTTAAAATGCGCTCAATATTCGCTCTCTTTGCGGCGACTCAGCGCCGGCGTCAATGACGGGAGCGTGAGCAGAAGTGATGACATGAAGTTAACGTTCTTTGGCGCTCAGCTGTTGCGTGCGCTCTCTCTGTGTTTGCCATTCAAGTTCTGCTCTGAGTTGAAATTCATATAAACCACATAGGAATATAAGTCAAAGAGAGGAAGCAGAAACGACAACAGTAGTTAACGTTCTTGTGCACTCAGCTATTGCGTGCGCTCTCTTTCTCTTTCCATATGTAAAGTAGTTTGAATTGCAGTTTTGAATTGCAATTCATATAATAAACATATAAATTGCTAGCTATCAGCTTGTATAGGGTGTAGCAATTTTATCACTGAACTTGCTATTGTTTATACTTTGTCACCTCATATCAGCAACGCTTGCGGTTTATTGCAGCAGATTCTAGAATTTGGATTATTTTGTGCGCTTTATTTTAATGGTTATTATTTTTATATATAGCGTTTCGAGTGTTTTGTTGGCATGTAACCGATCGATCATTAGGTTAGCTGATAAGATAATATAACAGTTTATTTCAAATCTGGTCAGCAAAATTACCTTGACCTATTCTTTGTTGTCGTAATTGCCTATTTTAGTAAAGACAACATAAGCACAATATTCAAATTCGTTCACTGAATGCGGACAATAGATGGCGGTGTACATACGCGCTCACAAGTATGTAATACTATTTTATTCAAATTGAGCACTAGATGGCGTTTTCTTAATTTTAGGGTAACAAGCAACAGATGGCGCGCTCCAAGGACTTGATGTTTGTATGCAATATATGATTCAAAGATATTCTAAAATTATATATAAATAAAAATTTATAGAATGAAATATAGAAATATATATATTTTCTTGCGTTTTCTTCTTGGATATAATTAGCAATGCTAAATAAATATACACAGGTACACACAAAAAGTGATTAGCCCCAATTGATCGACGGCTAGATTATGTTGGTAATTGCAATTGTATTTTAATAATCAATTTAATTGAATCTGATTGGTTCACCACCTGCTTCTCCCCTACTCAGTCAGTTGACGTGGGACTGTTCTACCTCAGTTCAGCCGCTGCCGCTGCCTCTGCCGCTGCCTTTGCCTCTACCTCGGCTTCCCTATTCCTATCCCAATAGGTTTTCGCTTTTGGCTGCATGTGGAATCGCTTATTCGCACTTGAGTAGGAGAATTTACTAGTTTTGCGTCACAGACGTGCCAAAACTGAATAATTCAAAAAGTATATATATTGAATGATATGTTTATGAAAACAAACAATAGTCGGACAGAGACGCCAACACATGATGAGCGTAAAATTTTATGAAGTTGTTGAAATTTCCAACTGCCTATTAAGCGAATTGCCAGAAATTCAAATTTGTTGCCAAAAGGCAGTGAGGGACAAAGACAAACACAGACGGACGGAGGGAGAGTGGGCAGAGGGAGAGGATGAAGGAGGACGGTTTAATATGTTGAATTTACCTTAGCTTAAAAACATAATCGAAATTTGTTTTGAGAGATTTACATAGCAATAATAGCATAGCATAGAAAACATACATATTTCAGCACGATGTTGTTTTTCGCAAGGCATCAATGAAAGCCACAAGAAAAACAAACCCAGGCCAATCGATCGGCCCATCGATGGGCCAGAGTTGAGTGTTGAGCAGGTAAATCAACACCTGCGGCACATTGAATTCTTGGGCATAATATCGGCTGATTTCTAGATAAGTCCATGGCAATTTGCTGTTAATTTGGCATAAACTACAACGTGGCTTATTGATTGCCATGCATCAGTTTAGATTACACTATGTTCAGGGGGAGCCTGCCACGGCTGCCACTGGCAGGGGCGGAGGGGGCAGCCAAATTTATCTGCGCACAGTTTGTCAGTTTCTTCTGTTTGGTAGTTTCTTTGTTGCGCGTGGGCAGGTACCAAAAAACAAGGCGCAATTCAAGCGATTCACGCAATTCACGCTAAACACAGGCGAATAAATAAGCAGCCAGACAAAAAATACAATAAAGTTGCCCATTGCCCCCGCCCCTCTAGCCACTGGCCCCGCTCTCTCCCTCCCTCACATTCTGCCGGGCCAGTCAATCAACCAATATCCCCGGCTCCCCCGGCCTAGCAGCTACTTTAGCGCTTTGCACTTGAAATCGGCAGCAGCATCAAGCTGTCGACCACCCGCAGATCAACACGATTCGCACTGGCGAGGGGAGTGGAGGGGCGCTGGAGGATCTGGAAAGGATCTACGTCATGAGCCAGTCGATGATGCAGCGCTGCGTCTAAAGCAAAATACGCAAAAAGTTCAACATATATAGAGCAACGCCTCGATCTGCTTGCGGCTGCCTCATGACGTCCCACGAATTTCGACTGTGACTGCCCCAAGTGACGTCACAGTCGCAGCATCACAGCCGGCAGCGTGTGCACCCCCGTTAAGATCCGGGTATTTATAGCCAATTGTGGGTACTACGATAAAGATGCGAGATGTGGCATCTATTCAATTCCATCTATATCAATCAGGTTTATGGCTTCCTTGATTGATATTCTTGAGCCATTCTGACTTAGAAATCAAAGTCCACTTTCATTATCCCAAATACTCTTCAGCTACATCCATTGCCAATCAATTCTCACCAGCCAATCGGCAGAGTATATAGTCTTCGGCTCTATATGGGATTTCGCCTCATCTTTCATTTTATTTGCATCTCCATGCTTTCGGGCAGCTCTGAGAAAATCGGATTCTATTTTGGGGCGATTGCACGAGTTTAAAATCAACATAAACAAACAACAAATGCGAGTGTGAATTAAAAAAGTGAATAGAACAGTTCACTTAATAATATGCTATTACTGTTACTATGACGAAGTCCGACAAACACACTATGTACATATATCCCATATGGACTGATATACTGGGTGAGTAGCACGCAGGGTTCGAGTGCCTCGATTCAGCTGGGGTGTTCACATGCTTCCGAATACTCAACTGTCGATATTAATCAATATTGTTAAATGATGTGCAATTAGTTGGCGAACGAGTGAGCGAACTTCGCGCGAATCTACAATTTGCCGAGGGGTTCGGTTCCTGGAACTAGAGATACGCTGGAAAAATGATTTTTCATATATGAAATATGCTCTTCCAGAATTCTTCAGGAGATCATATATGATATGTCGGGATCATACAATATGATCTATGAGCACCTGTGGTGTATATACTTGAGTGTTCGAGCATTGGGCAAATAAATTAGCTTATGTAGCAGTTCATTCCCTTTCTCAAATTCTAAAAAATGAATCGAATCTAAACATCAAATTCACGGAAAATACTTGAATGAGTATCTCTGGAAAGATGCTTGCTATATGATTTAAAGAACTTATTCTACAATTCTTTCTATAATCTTCCGGCTTTTATGTTTAGATGATAAAGATATTTCGGGCATTGATATAAGTAAAGTCATCGAATTCGCCGTTTGACTTTTCATTGCTCTTTGCTTTAATGGCAATCGAGTGGCCAAGGTGAGTCATGATTCACCCGCTTCCCAATTTCCCAACTGCCAGGCAGCCTCTCTATAACGAAATTCCTCTGCCACGAAATTTGACATTTCGCTGAACCCAGCCGGAACAAGAAACACGGCAGAGACAGGAGCAGCACGTGTCCTTGCATGCGAGCAAGGGATCTACTCTTGCTCCCCATTCTCCATTCCCTTTTCCTTTCCCTTTCCCTCCTCTGTCAGATTTCCTTTTACTAAACTGTGGTACAGCCCTTGCCTTTGCCTTTGCCCTTGCCCTTGCTCTTGTTCTTGCTCTTGCTTTGGACTCCAAGTTGCAACCTCATGATGTGCGTGCAGTTGCGTCTAATCCGCGTTTTAGTCGTCTATCCTGCCCAGACCCAGGGACACGCGGAGCTGGAGCAGGAACTGGAGCAGGGGCTGTCGCTGTCGCTGTTTCTGGCACTGGAGTCAAAGCGAAAGCCTGACAGAGGCGGAAACTGTTGCTGTCTGTGGCCCTTGTTGGACATGATGCGGCGTATTGTTGTTTCCTGCTTGCTTTCAGCTTTGACAAACAAATTAATAAGAAAACGAGGGCTGAACAGGGCGGGGCTGAGGGCAAGGCTGGGCTGATCTGGGCTGGGCTGTTGTGGTCTGGTCTGATGTGTTACCCCCGCCGTTCGGCAGTTTGCCTGGTCATAATACGCGTAATTTTGCCTTTGTAAGCAAATGGCAGGCAGCACGACCGGGCAGCACCCTAACCAACAGGACCAACAGGACCGCAAGGACCTCTCCGTGCGTTCGTCCTTGATGGCAATGCTCGACATAATGACTTTTGATTACAGCGCCATTAAGCGAGGCCAACGGATCTCGACTCTGCTCAGCTCCTTGTACATCTGTTTGATTTTCGGCTTTGTGCGCCGTCTACTGGGCAGGGGATTACGGCGAGTCGTTAGAGCTGTTCTT